GGGAGTAGATATGTGGTCAGAAAATTGATCAGCAGAGTGATCACGAACTCGAATTAGATAACAATAACAGTGCGATAACAGTTAACATAGGTGGATCGTTAGTTTGGAGGAACTGTGTTGGGGTCCATCCTTTACAAGTTTAAATTTCTTTCGCTTCAGAGAAATTTGATGATGCAATGCGTCATTTGAGTGCAGCCATCAAGCGAGATCTCAAGAACATAGATTTGTATGAATTGCAAATTGTTACCTATTTGCAGCGAGACAAGTAGGTGTTTTAACTTTGTTTGTTGTTTGTTCATCTGAAGAAAGTCATTAATTATGATCAAGTACGTTGTAAAATGTAGCACTTGGTAATTCAAGGATCCGTGAAGCTCGTGCCGCTGTTGCCATTTGTATGCAGAACCTTCCGAACTCACCCAGAGCGCGTGTTCTAAAAGCCCAAGTATTGCTTGCCACTCCAAGTGGTAAAGAGGTGACTCATAACTAATATTTTCTTACTTACTTTCATAGTAGCTACCTCCATTTTATACTCTGTGTCTTCAAGGAAGCACAAACAATCCTAGAGGAAGTGGTATTCGCTCATCCTTACCTTCTCGAAGCAGTATGGCTGCTAATAAGTCAGTATGACAGCACCCATAACTATCAAAAAGGCACAGAAGTATTGAAGAAGCTGACGGAGGTCCTTGTTGTGTTTTCTCTCAATTCTGGTTTTTTTTCATTTCCTAATCATCATGTTTTCTTAGAATTCAATGGTTCCTTTCCATTCAATGGGCCGGTTACATCATCAACTGGGTGAATTCTTATCAAAAACAGGCATGCCGGCTGCAGCGTACCATCACACCAATCTCGCGCTAACAAAGCAATGTAAAGAGGCGGCAGATCAGGTAAGTTGCTCTTCGAAAACTATGAATCCTATCATTGGTGGCTGTACCCTTTTACTGGGAACCCCTCGAGGTTTCCCTCTTAGATTGTTTATTTCCTATGTCTTAAAACTGAAAATTCGTTGTTTCAAGGCTGGTGTGGTATTTCCTCCCTTTATGAGAAAATGCGAGCAAGTGCTCATTTTGGACAACATTTCATCTTCCTTGTGTTTATGTGCTAGTATGAGACTCTGATGATTTACTAGTTGACTTCCCTAGCTAATTATGTTGACTTCTGAAAAATTAACCAACGAAAAGCAAAATGCATGAAATGGAACACTAGGATATTGAAATTTGGTTAGAATAATTAGATTATCTCCCATGGTATGAGGATATTTCCCATCGGTTAGGCTTACGATATGACCTTAGTGGTCAAAATGCGTTTCAACTTGCAGCTCAGAAACTGTTACAAGATAAGTGATTAAGGTGGCATGTAAGTAGAGACAGGTGAAAAACGCCGGATTGAACATCGTTAGGGGAAAACAACAATCCTAGCTTTTGTTTATTTCAGGTGAGGGTTTTTAAGCAAAAATAAAAGAGAAGCCCTAACCAATTCTTATAAATCTTTGTAAGAACCAAAATTGCTTTAAAATCTTTCTGGTGTTCTGTATGGTACTCGACAGCATAATGTATCCTAAACTTTCACGTTGCATCAGTCTACTTTGAAATAGTTTTATCTGGCTCAATTATGATTGAAAAAGACGTTGCAGATGACCCAGTTGGAACCATCGCTGTCATTCCATACTCCTCCTATGCCGACTACTCCGACTTGTGCACCGTCTGAATGTCCTGGAGCCCCTCGTATTCGTGGAAGGCATCGGCATGCTACGCCTGGAACCACCACAACCACGGTGGCTGGTGACTCCGAAGGCCGTGGTGTTCGACTGTTTTCATTTGATTCCTCAATGGATGATGCAAGTGCTGAAGCGATGGATATTCCTTCAGAGTAAGAACCGCTGGCCTTGAAGTCTACACACCTGCCGTTTTGTGGAACCTTTCTCGTGTGCTCCTACGTGTAATCTTGATCTAGTGCGACATTAATATTGTGACGTAAATTTATGAGTCTACTTTTTATTGTACATAAAAGTGATAAATTCTTTAATTGACTTATTGTTTCTTACCATTCAGCATTTTGCGACCTGAATCTAGAGCGTTTGTTTGGTAGGAATACAGGTGGCAATTTCAAAACGCTGATGGTAGGTGACAGGAAGTGATAACAATTCATAGGAATATAACAATTGATAAGAGGCCTTAGAAGGCAAAAGAAGATTTGAATACTCTTTTACCAGTAGCCTTACCAGTGAAACCTTAGCCCTTTAGCACATGGTGTGAGATGTGAAGGGACCTTGAATGAATGAAGACAGAGATTAATAACAACTGATACGAGGGATGCCTTTTATATTTCGAGATTTGGCAACACAAGTGTAGCAATCTAACAACTGACACCACTATCGTAAAGTTTGACTATTTTGAGGTTACGTTGCAAAATTTGAGCGCGATTTGTGTTGTTTACACTAAGTTATAAGATTTTGTTTAGGCCAAGTTATGGAGTTGAATCGTGAGCATTTTCGCGCGATTATTTTCTACAACTTTCGACGTGGACTAACTCAACAGCAATGCATGGATGAACTTAGTTCAATTTCTGGTGATGAAGCTCCATCCAGGGCCAGTGCTTATCGATGGTACAGTGAGTTCACCCGAGGTTGTAGTTCACTCGAAGAAGAATTTCGTGGAGGTCGTCCAAAACCATTTGTCGTTCCGGAAAC